GAACCACACGTTCTCATGTGATACGTGCGAAAGTATTCAGTAAAATTACCGGTAAGATTTTCGCGGACAATCTCATCCATTTCTCTTACATTGTGTGCTGAGACTGAAACTTTTTATCACGGGCAAAGCTTTGTCGCACGGCTCAAACAAACATAGCGAGCACCTGAGCTTCTTGCATATGCCCTTATTAAAACACACGAAAGGACTCCAAAGCACACTTCACTCTGATTGGGCAGAAAAAAAACAAAGATTTTCTGGCACCAATCAGATGCCAGAACGACTGCGACCGTTTGGAACTAGTCTTGTAAGACAATGTCCCCAGGGGCTCTTCTGCGCTTAACTTGAAATCGACTCACAGCCGCGGGGTCTCGGAGGATGCGTTATTTTTAGTTTGAAAGAAAAATATTGTAACGAGACGGAGTTCACGTATCACTTGGATTGTCGATGCTCCCATGCATTTTCACCAAATGAATCTTGCATTTTATGCAAATTATGTGATTATTTCGAAAAAAGAACTTTGGGGAAAATCGAGATTGATAGGGCAAATGAGATTTATAGAAACTTTTGGAGAATTTCCGATTAGATATTTAGGCATTTTTTCGGGATTTTTGTACCTTGGCTTAAAAAGCAGGTTTTCTTATATTTAGTATAATTGCTCCGGTGATGGTAGAGGTGCGTATACTCTGATTGAGCAAGGATTGCGTCACATCTCGCGCTAGGAGATTATGGCAGGGGCACTAAATTTCAAAATTGCTACTTCGCGATTTGGTTAATGTCATATAGAAAGTGATTAGATAGTTTATAGGGATAAGATATCATAGAGAATACCATCACACGACTGCCATAATGCTACAAAATTACGTGAACAAGTTCAACCGAGAGAATATAAAAGGACAGGGAGAGACAATCGGGACGTTGGTAAGGATATGTCCAGGCCAAAATCAATGTCAAAAGGTTGTCAATGGGGGTACACGAGTCTTGTTTCGCTCTGCTTTTGGCGTCTGAACTGCTTTTTTTTTCTAGTAGAAACTTTAAGTCACGCAAAGAAAGCTATTAGTGGTCGTTACTTCAAAAGGATTAATTATTGTGTACCTAATTATCTTAATGATAGCTTAAGATTATTAAGTTCAGTACATTCACGCAACACTAGATTTTGTAAATACAACTTTTTATTACCTAAGTTTAAAAGGGCAAGAGAAGGAGGGAAAACTTTTCTAGTTTCTGCCATAAAATTATGGAATCAGTTAAAGCCTGAATTAAAAAAGTCTAATACACTTAAGGCCTTTAAAGACAACGTATTTAAATATTATTATGATGACAAATCATGCTTAGCTCATTTTAATCGGTAAATTTTATTGATAGTAGTTTTATATATTCTTACTTGTTTATATTATCTTGTATTATATATTTTATCAATTAAATATTATTTGTAATTAGCTAAATTTCTATTTATATTTGTAATCTTTTTTTTTTTTTTTTTTTTT